GAAAGGCTTTTCCTCTCCCCGCGGCTGCACACGGAGCCCCAGAGCCCCAGGGCTCCCATCCCTGTCTCCAGCCCCACTGGGTGGCACTGCGCTCCCAGGGCTTTTCTCATGGGTTTTAATTTCCTGGAATGCAATCGGACGGAACAGTTCCAGGGACCGTTCTCAGCCTGATTCCTGAGGCCGACACATGCTGTACCAGCAGTGTCAAATGTCCAACAGGTCAGGCTCTTCAGAGCCCCAGCATCTGGGTCAGTGGTAGGCAAAGAAAAACAAACATTGAGGAGGTCATGGCCAGGACGCTCCGGGACACTCTTGGCCAAAGGCTGGGAACATTCCCATCCCTCCTCCCCTGCCTAGTTGCTGGAAAGAGCCAACTCACTGTTAAATCAAGACTGAAAACACTGTGCAAAACAAATCTCTCCGAGTAGAGAGCAGTGACTCCTTCCAGCCTCCCTCCCTCCCCCTCTGTAATGTCTCCTTTTGCCTTATACAGTATTAAAAATAATATTTCTGTCATGTTAGGCTGAGGAAAAAACCATGGGTTCCCGAATTTCAGCACACTAATGCCAGAGTGCTCAGTGGTAGGGCAGGGTCTGCAGACCCTCCTGGTGCAGGCTGAGCAGGGCAGATGCAGCCCACAACAGGTCTCCACTGTGGCCCTCCCTCAGAAAGACTGCAAGAAATCTTGTCTCTTCTGCAATTTGCTCTGTGCCTTGAACTAATTTCTGTAATCCCAGCCAATCCTCACATTTTCTTAATCTAATTTTCCCACAGTCCTTCCATTTGCAACTGCTTTTAGTTGTTCCCCTTCCTTCTTTACATTCCTAGTGTTCTGCATTTCTCATACTTCCATCCCACTCTGCTCTTCAGAGGGCATGAAGAAATACCTCTTGGAAGAGTATTTTATTTCAAAATGTTTTTGTGAAGAACAGTTACAATCTTGGACTGAACTGGAAGCACTGGCTGGTCTGCAGGGACAGAGAAGGTGGATGAATGGGGAGTCTCCCCTTCCCCTTGAGGAGCTATGTCTCTGTACCTTTACCTGTTGGTAAAACTAATGATAGCAACTGCTGAAACTGACTGGGTCTGCTGGTCAGTTCCCCTACTGGGAACACCGTAAAAAACCAGTAGCTCTCAGGAATTGGTTGATGATTTTCTCCCTGTGATGTCTGCAGCAAAACTTGTATTATTTTCTTGAGAAAAAAAATCCCCACTGAGTTGAAAAAAAGTTATCCAAATAAACTTCATAATCCAAATTCTTGCAGAGGCAGAAAACAGACTCTTGTCTCTCCTGCTGTGCTTTCCCAGCCACATCTCTAAGTCTTGGGCAAACACAAGCCAAAACATCCCTCACTGACAAACCCAAGACTGCACACCACAGTTTGGCTCTTTTCCCCTCTCCTAACTCAAAAGTCCCTCAGGAATTCTGATGTTTAATAGCAGTGCATGAAGAGTTGCATTTATTTGCCTCACTGCTCTTTGTACCTTCTGGATTCCTTTTGCTACCTGAAGGACTTGAAACACGTTGAAAAACAAAAACACGCAGGATCGGTAGTTTTATGTAGATGCCAAAATCACAAGACTTGTGAAAAAATGGCAAGAAGCAGCAGTGCTATGCTCTGAGCCAGCTGCCACCAGCAGACAACATAAGTCAAGTTTCAAGGAAACATGTAATTTCTTTTTCCTATCGTGGGCTCTCCCTCATGTGCCATACATAGCCCCTCTGGCAGAGAATGGCAACAAGCACAGTTTCTGTCCAAAGAACACAGTATCTCAGTGTGCAGAACAGTGACCAGGGAAGCAAAGCAGCCTTTCCCTGTGGGAGCTGCTTGACTTGTCTCAGGGGCAGCTGGAGCTGTTCCCCAGCACTGGGACACATCCCCAGAGTTCTGGGGCTGCCCCCGGTGCAACCAGACACATGCCAGTTTCCTTCTGCCCTATTACTATATTAAGTTTCCCATAGAAAATGACACAGCCAACTGCTGGAGCAGAAACAGATACTCTAACATGAATTACTAAAACTGCAGGAGGTTAATTAGTTTTACTCAATAATTACCCAAATCGTTGCAATGAACTGTATGCCAAATCCAAAGCTGTGTGCTTGTTTACCTGCCTGGAGAGCCTCCATATCTCCTGGCACTGAAACTGATCTCATTTGAGCACAGACCTATCTGCAGATGTAATTATGTCTCCACTGTTGTATGGCACAGCCCCAGACCCTGAAATGCAGGTCTGACTCCCTTCAGTCTGCAGGTTACAGACAGCAAACTGCACTGCAAATCCAGCTGAGAGAGGGAAGAGAGCACTGGTAAGCATAGTGACAATGTTGGCACAAGAAAAGAGAGGGAAAACTGATCAGGAATATATTAAGGCTATAAATTAGAATACCTTTAATGATTCATGCTATTGCAATTCATTAAAGGATTACTGCCCCCAGGGCCAAATCACATGTTAAAGTCAACTGCTCTCCATTTCACTTCAAATTAAAATGCTGGGCAGGCACAGTGATAGCCAAGAAGTTCACTTATGTGACCTGGGAGAGGCCAAATGCCAGGCTATGGTCAATAGTCTGTTTGAATTTCCAGACCTTATGTGGAGACATCCTTACAAGGTTGGTAATCACGACAGCTGTGAGGTTCTGGCAAATAAAGCAGCCTAATGGTATTTAAGTCAAAACTCAAGACATCTATGAAAGGTATTATAGGAACCTTTTGTGCTTGTGGCATTGCCCTGGTGAGTCCTTTGGTCCTATTCAGAGTGGGGAACTCCCCAAAGGGAAATGTTTCAGGTGTGTGGTGATTCGGGTGTTTCTTCTATGTATGCTGTAACACACTCATTTTGTACCAAACAGCACAGTAATATTCCATGTGGAAAAGTTGTTTACAAGCAGTCACTCAAGAAAAACTTTCCTGTCTAATGTTAAACCCATTTAAAGTGATTTAATAAAATATTAGCTTGCAATGATCTTTCTTTGAAGGTAATTTCCACAAAGAAGTGTTTTGTTTGCCCGGTCACTGTAGGCAGATTTCATACATACTTAAACTTGCCATGATCACCAATTCCCTTCCTCTGTCTTTCTGTGTCCTTCTTTATCTTACCAAACTTCAGGTTGTATATAAATATATCCAGGGAATGTGTATGTAAGAAACAGTTACAGAATTGGCAATAGAATCCTGTCTGGGAAATTAACTTCACAACTGAGAGATTAGCAGGAAGATCAAGTACTATTAACTTGCAGCTACTCCAAGTCACCTATGGCTGAGTGCAGAATTACCTTATGTTATACTATTTACACAGTTATCTTTACTACTTAGCATGAAAATTCCAAATATAGGTGAACTTTATATAATAAAGCTTGAAAGGACCTTGCCTGAACAAAACAACCTATAAGTTATCAGCACCTTTGTCAATGAATATTGGCATAAAAATTTGGCCCATGATATGAGCAGCCTGAGGATTTACAAGTACCTCTTGCATTCTTGATCTTTCCACATGCTAAAGGGATTTAGTATACATTTCCCTCATCCTTCCCAGTCTCATGGAAGATCCCTGTTATTGGCTGAATATAAAATCTTTACACAAACAGTTTCTGTGACAGATTTCTATGGCACATTCATCTTGGAGAAAAATAAAAGCAGCCAGTAAAAAAAGCAACTTCTGGATCCTTTTATTGAAGAGGATTGAGAAGCACAGAACCATGGTTAAAGCAAATGTGCAATGTTACAGCTTATCCACTTGCAACAAGTTTACATTAGAGATACTTCTTACACAAGAAGAGTCCCTGAGCAGCAAAGCCTCTCCAAGATGTCCCTGCTCATCCTCCCCACCTCTGAACTGGGATTTGTCACTCTCAGTTGTGCTGACGCAGCTGTTTGCAGAACATCCTACAAAACAGATCTCTGGGATAATCTCAGTTAACATGAAAAAAACACCACCTCTCTTTGAAGGGCTATTTTTAACCTGCAACCCCAGAAGCAGTTGCATCAGCAAACAGGAGAGAGCAGGCACTGCAATGTGAGGAGGGTAACAAGCGGTTTGGCAATGAGGAGAGAAGACCAGCAGGAACCGCTCAAACTGGCTGAACTGCCAAAAAATTTCAGGCAACCAGTCACCAATCTGCTCCTGGCTCGCACTTCGTGGAATTCTTCAGATAAGAGTGAAACAGCCAAAAGCCACATTCAGCACTTACTGTGTAGAGCTTTAAGCAAACAGACGGCAGAGAGAGACTGCACGCAAGGAAAATATTGCACAGAGGGAAATCAAGAACCTTTTTAAAAAAAATTTAATGTAT